TAACTTAAGAGTAAATTGCAGTAAACAATGAAACATTCACCTGAAAGTTGTTCAATATAGTTTTTTCCACCATCTCTCTATGAGCTGCTTTAAAGTACACCTATAACCCCTACATGATAACTTCATGAATTAAAAGCCCTCATCGAATATATAAGTGTCTTGGTTTGAGGGTCTTTCCATAGCGACACCTTCAAACATACCAAACTGATTGCTTAAATGACTCTACAATATAATCAACATAAGTTTCAGCCATTTTGGGCTAATTCTCGTGGAGATATTGATTATTTGGTGCTTTGGCTTCTTAGTAGCGCCCTTTGACGATATCGTCATATTGAGTATCTCAGCAACGAAAAGAGATATAGCGAACTAGAATAGTTAACGCTATTCTTACTTATTTTATGAGGGCTTTTAAGACAAGAAGGCATCCTGTAGGGTTTAGGTGCACTTTAATACTACTGGTACTAAAGTTGAAGTCGATGTACTCGATTTTCACACTAGATAACGTGGAACTACGATGAAAATTTGTAGTTATTTGCAGTCGGTTGTCAGTGCCGTATCAATTTATGAAATACGTAATAATCCTTTCTTCGATACCCTAAAAGATACCAAGGTATGCCGAAATTCTAAATTTAAGACCCTAAAAGATATCAAATCGCCGACTTTTACCCTTAAGAGATACCACAAGCACACCTGATATTCTTATCCCATAGTCAACCCCCACCTCCCCCTGTGTTCTATGAAGACAGTTGAATCTTGTTGTATTCAGTTTAGTTCTTCTAATAGGTAACCAAATAATGCTTTTAAACAAATTAAGAAATTATCCTATTTGTCAAATAATTGTTTAAGGAACAAGTTACGACATGTTCAGTGTCCCTGTTCGTTATGTTAACACTTCTGGACGTGGTGGTCTTGATGGTAAGTTTGATCACCTATCTAAACAAAAGAAGAGGATATATAGAGCTTTTGGTTAAAGCATTAGTAGCTCAGTTGCATACTGTCTCAGTGATAGCACCGTCTGTCTTTGCTGTAGCCGAATATCCAAAGGAAGAAAGAAAACCAAGCTATAACCATTCGTAAGTATATGTTTTGATTGCAACTCGAGTTTAATTTGCCTGGAATAGAGACCTTCAGCACGACGGTCTTGCTAGGTGTACTGTAAACCTCAAACTGCATTTCGAAGCCAGGCATTTTACGTCAAACTTTCCACACATTTAGCAAGGTGCCATAACAAAGTTGTTGCTAGAAGAGCATTGAATTTCATTAATGCTGAGTGTTTCTCCATGTTTGCGGGCGTGTTCCTTTGCCTCATCCCTAGCAGTTAACAGTAAACCTGATGCTAGAGGTCTTTAATGCAGTGCAAGTTTTATCTCATGTATAACTTTCTAAAGTTATGTAACCTAAAAACTTTTGTCCTTTTTTCGCTGTTATTCATCTTTTGATGTGGATGATTGCGATTAATCTATCTGTACAACTTGTAAAAATTATTTTCCAGATCAACACCATGAATTTCAAGTTCCTTTTACTGCTTTGTTTGATCTTTGTGATCTTGATGCCCGACGCCGAGGGCTGGAGACGACGACGACGTCGCCGCCAAAATCCAACCGGTTGCCGCAAGGTCTGCAACAAGTATTGCGGCATGAGATGTACTCCTTCCTGTCACTACGGTTGCTGGTACCGATGTAACTGGGTTAATTGCCATGGAAAGCGCGATGCGCCTGAAGATGAACCTGAAATCCCGTACAAAGATCTTGGACCAAGTAAAGAATGATAGGAATCATAGAAGTTCAGATTATTAAGGATTATCAAGAATTACCAATAATCTTTAAGTATGCGCTGAATGAAATATGTAACTTAAGAGTAAATTGCAGTAAACAATGAAACATTCACCTGAAAGTTGTTCAATATAGTTTTTTCCACCATCTCTCTATGAGCTGCTTTAAAGCACGTCACCTAACCACTACAGGATGCTTCCGCCTGATTTGAAAGCCATTATCAAATAAAGACGGTACGATTTTCGCCTACAACTATCGTATACCACACGCTCGCGTCATCCTACAACTCGAGTCGTAGCGTGTAAATCAAGCCTATAACTCGCCTACGACAGACGCGAGCGTGTTGTATACGATTGTTGTAGGCGAAAATCGTACCGTCTAAATCGGACTTAACGTAATCTATATAGTTGTCCAATGTCAGGATACGAGCGAGTAGAATTGGTTAGGTTTCGGCGTGTCTTATAAATTACCATAGCTGGTAGTGAGAGCATGTTAAAATCATTAAACTGTAAAGTTGGAAGGAAATAAGCCTAAAAATCGCAAATACATGATCTTGAAAAATTTGAATTTAGTAAGAAAACTTTTTAGAGCCAACAGATGTGTTTCCAACAAAGATTTTATCTTCCATACAAAAGGTTCTGTCCCTGTTAATCTTGCTCCGTAGAACCCAACCAGCGAAAGAAGATTTTTAACGGTAAAGTGATTTCGTTAATATTAGGGAGTTTTAGATTTACGTTCAAGGCAAACGTGAAACGTCAGTTGATCAGTGAAAAATCCTTTTAAATTGATGAAAAAGAATCGCAAAAAAGTCCAAGTAGTAGAAAAACAAAAGAATGTTTGTTTGTGATATGAAAGTTTGCAAGAGGTAAAGTAAAATACAGGAAAACTATGAAAACGTGGTCACGTTTGCCGTTTGCGGGAAGAAAAAAAGTCAATCTAAAACTCTCTATTGACATTATGAGGGGCACTTAATTTTCGCCTCATTAATATATTTTCGCACCACTTAAAAGACACTTCAGAAACATTCAAAATACTTAAGACCGTAAACATTGACCACCAAGTTTTACATTCGAAATTCATGTGGCCATTGACTCTATATCCATATTTGGTAAGCATACCTTGTATGGAAGTGAACCTTGGTTTCTTTCCGTTCATTTTCCCGCCATTTTAGAGCTGTACTGGTACAAAAGTCTCGGCTAACTCAAAAACAATAGACCTTATTCGTGGTGTGACAATGTTTTCCCAATTCAGCGTGACAAAACTCTGGGGGAATGAAGAGCTATTGTTTTGAAACTCGTCGGGGATATCATCGTTATTCCTTTCGTATCCTTTGGGATAATCATGAATTTTTCGAAGAGTAAAAACAAAAGAAACTGAATCTCCTGGAGGTTCGTCACACTGAATTGCGAAAACATTGTCACACCACGAATAAGGTCTATAAAGTGGCAATGAATAACGATACCTATACAGTCAAGAAAAGTTAAAGAGCTCGTGGGTGTTTCTCTGGGTGCCAAAGGTTCATCGTTGTTTTCTTTTCTCTTTTTTTTTTCGCTTTCGCTGCTCGACCTCGTAGCTTCGGAACTCGACTAAAGCCCCTCTGGGATCCAGGGTAGGGTCTTTCTTGGTGTAGTATACTTTATTGCTTTTTATTTCTGTGTTAAGAGTTTTTGTTTTGTAGTGCCATTTTTAAGCATTGCTATCGTTTTATGCGCAACACGCGTGCATTTCAGCATGTTTTCTAAGAATTTAGAAGAATTTGAGTGAGAAAATAAATGTTTGTTTTCTCCGAGAGTATACACAGAATTTCACGAGAATACTTTTGTGATACCAAGCCACTGTATTAACAAACACAATAAGAAAGAATTAGCTTTAAGGTTCAAGCATGGACACTAATTTTTTCTACTTTGTGAAGTCCATTTATCAGGCTTGTTTGAAAGTCATATTTACATATTTTTCCGATAGCATGAAGACGTTTTGACTAATTTGCATACGGTTTTAGAGCATGCGCAGACGTTTTACCTCGTGTCCGTAATTACATGAGCAAGTTTCACAGGCTCGTACCCAATCGTCTCTCTCTTGCTCGCGCTGTGGTTAATGGGAAGGATTTTAGTGATTTCGCGGTGTATCAAGGGAAGGAAAGAAAACAAAAGTGAAGCGACCAGTCGTCACCTTTTCTTCCTCCTTCACAAAAAGCCTTCGCGGGCACTAATCGTCTTTCCATATTTAAACCGAGGTTGTAAATTATTGTTTCAAAAGTACAGATTCTAGTTTAGATATTTAAGTGGAACAAGAATTTGAAAGGATTCGCAACAAGTTTTTTGAAATAAATTTGACCGAGCTTCTCTCTTTTGGCAAAGAATTCGGGCTAACCGATTTCATCAGCATCGATTGAAAAAAATATTCTTCATACTTTTATATTTTCATTGCAACAGAAAAGCTTTTCTACTCACTTTGGGTTCAATACAGGAGCAAAAGGTTAGAAATTTGGTTGCTATCGTTTATTATAAATTATTCTTTATTGTTGCTAGATATTATTTGATAAATGGTTCTAGTTGAAACGTCGCCTTGTTTCAAAATATTTCCATTGAATGGCTTATTTTTCTTTATTTTAACTTACAACTGGATAGATGACTTGTATAAATTTAATATATGTGTGTTTACGACGAATGTCGATTAATGTAGTTTATTGAATTGTCCGTCATAACCGAGTTTAGAGTTTTAAGATTTTTAGCTTACTTTTTGGAGAGACTTTTAGCTTAATTTACAGCTTGGGTCGCTTTGTACATTATAATTGACAAAAAATTGTATTTTTATACTTTACGGCAGCGAAAAAACAAATTTCAGCTTGCAAATCGAAGACACAGAGTTCGCATGTTTAAGAAAATCGCAGTAGGATACGAAACCAAAGAAAAAGGGAGAAAGAAAGGAAAGAAAAAGAAAGGAAAGACAGACAAAAAGAGCAGACATATATCCATGTATTTTTATCAAGGTTATTTACTAGCTAGAATGTAACAAAGCCATGAAAGTCAAAACGAACGTAGATTAGTTAGAGTTTGTTTTAAAACAAGCGGTCGACGAAGGATCAACGCAGCATATTGACCCGTTACAGATGTTCATATGGTTCATTTGCTTCAAAAACTTTCTTCGAATCCGAAATTATTGTGAAATTAAAGTGCATAATTAATACGGGTTTTGGATTATTTTTTTAAATTCTTTAAAGGGGGTCTAAGCATGAAAATCGTCCGAATTTTAATTCAGCTGAAACTTTACTGGAATAACCCTTCAAGGTCTAATAATCACTGGTTAAAGTTTTTCCCTGATATTCGGATGGCAAGTATTATACTTTTGCGAATTTTCATAGGAGTCTGTGACGTCATACACTCAACACTAAACATTGCTCCATACATTTCTTTGTATTTCGTAATCAAAATATCTTCTAGTTTTACACTCAGTATTGAGGGAAAGATACCATAAAATGACTATAACCACAAGTTATGTACGTTAAGTCCCTAAGCGGACCTTTGGGCTTAATAGAATTAAAGTAAAACATGCAGTGATTTATAAAGAAATGTGTGGAGCGGTGTTTTCTTGAGTGTATGACGTCACAGACACCTATAAAAATTGGAATATAAAGAAAAAACTTTGACCAGTGATTTTTAAACCCTTAAAAATCATTCCATTAAAGTTTCAGCCGAATTAAATTTCCAAAGATTTTCGCGCTAGTCCCCCTTTAATTTTTTTTTTTTTTAATTTGATACTAAATTATTTGATTAAATAACGCTACGGGATATTCTATTTTGCTCTAAAACTCCAACATTTTTTCACTTTTAACATTTTTCTCGGAAACTGTTTTTAAATGACATTTATTTATTTTTTGAAAATATTTTTATCTATTTGTATAGTTTTGAAAAGAACTTTATTCATTTATTTCTCAATAACCGCTGTCAGAAGTTTATAACTAGTTATGAACTTCTGCCGCTGTTCTATTCTATTTTGCTATAAAATTAAAAAAATAATTTTTAACATTCACCTTGACAGCAGTTTTCAAATACTTATATTTACGCTTCGTCAATAGCCACTTAATCAAAGTTTTAAAAGCAATTGGTTTAGGTTTGTGATAACTATATCCAAGCTGTTTTTGAATTACTGTTCAATAAGATGTTACAGATGTAATTGAAATCTAAAATTATAAAACAGACGATGCGATTATAAATTTTGGAATGAAATACATGAGAATGAGAATGAAATACATGAGAAATTAGGTCAATATCGTACCGTATATAGCAAGTTTACCACAACGGATTTTAAAAAATGAGAAAGAATAGTCTTTTTAAAATGAAATTTTAAAAGCTTTTTTAATTAGACAATGAATGAGATTTTTTCTCCGGGTTCTCCGATTTTTCTCCCTCCACAAAAATCTACTTCAAATAAATTGTAATTCGATCTAGAAGAGCCTAGATGAAAATTACTCTGGCTGTGTTATTCTAATTGAAGTCAGTTTTATCGAAAAAAATTGGTTCTCTGTAAGGTTATAATGTGTAAATTGCTGCAGATGTTTAACGTCATGAATGTTTATAATGTTTACATATTGCAGTACACATCGATTAGTATATTTTTTAGTAGAGTCTAGATTAAGGAGGAGACGGGTTCTCTGTTGCTCTGGGTTTCTCGCGCGTGCGCTCATCAGGCGGACAGACTTCATAATCTGTCTGGTGGGTGCGCGTGCGGGGGTGGGGCTCAGGGTGGCGGAGA